AATTTACGTCTAAATATTGAAACTTTCAAACCTTAATAACTCAAAAAGTTCTTAATAAAAAAATACTTTATTATAGTGTTTTGGAAAGCTCTCGAGATAACCTACAAGAATATGTAACGAGAAATAGTAGGTTCCATTTAAGAAATTGAAGGTAACCTTCATGTGACCTTCAAATTACTCTTCAAGGTCAAACCTATGGTACCATCTTATGTCCCCCTCGAAACCATACAACTTTTGTCTGAAACATTTTTTCATATCTCTTTTAGTTTTTTAAAAAATCGACTGTATAAATTAAAATGGCCCACCCTGTATATATATCAATAAACGTTTAAACGGATAGTTGTCAAAATGCGACTTTGCAGAATCTCGACGCGGACTCGATCTACCTAACTCGTAAGACACCGCGAAAGAAGTAATAACCCAGATAGCCTAGTATGCTCAAGCAATGTATGGAAGTAAAAGGACAGCAACTGATGCTAGGAATTCAATGTTTGAGTGATTTAAGTATACAGCTGGCATAACATATTGTTGTAGTTAAGTGCACAGCTAACCCAGTGAGAAATGATTCGTCGATCGATGTCGAAACGACACCATCAAATCGACGTCGATTCGACATCGTTTCGACACCGTTCGACGAATCATCTCTCATTGGGAAAGAGAGAACACATCGGATGGACATATTGTTGACAAATAGCTATCACACATTGCTTGAAATTTTTTTACAGATATAAACATATTATATTTATTACGTCTGGCCAAGCACTTAATGCTAGCATAATATTTGGATCATGCAAATGTTTCATTTCCGACATCAAACTACAGCGAACTACAGCACAATAGACGACATAGGAGCATAGCAAGATACTAGCGTGTTTGTTAGCGATATGAAAGCAACTTGTGCTCAAAGTGGCTATCTGGGAAACGGCGAATGCTATTGTACGCCAGTGAGTACCGGAAATGGATGCTAAATACTGCCACAGCTTCCTGCCTTCCTGGCGCACGGGGCCTCCGTTAATCATCCCCGTGACTTCCATCTTCGTCTCGCTCGGGCGGTCCGGCTGCCTCTTCAAAGAAGTATCGAAGGAAAGCGACGTCGCCCCTCAATTAACGCGTTTCGCACTTGACTATTCCCTTCGAGTTATCGTCACAAGTAACACGAGATTCACCGGAGATAAGAGAGAGATGCCAGCCCACGTTTCGGCGCGACACGAGGCGCCCGGAACCGAATGAACGGTGCGACATCGGGGCCATTGTATATCACCGCCGTCACTATCTGGTCACCATTATCGCTAATCTCTCGCTTATCTGACTCGATCGAAACGACAAAAAGATTTAGAAATGACGATAATCGCGGCGACAGCGGGGACGCACGCGGTGCTGAAAATCCGAACGAATACGAGACGCGTTTTCGCAAAATCTCTGCGCCTCGACGACTCGCGTCCACGGTTTTAGAAGATTCTCGCACATAGAAATGAAGTAAAACTGGTCCGTGAATCTTTCGAACCTTCGTAACAGCTCGATAGGAGGAAGAGAAACCGAAGAGTCAAACTAGACCGCATATTCAGCAACATTTTTCCGAGAAAGGCGCATTTTTTTGTGAGAAAAATGTACTAGTTTACTTTTCATTAGTCATACTGATAAAACTATTTTCTTTCTCTGATAATGATACAGAGAAGTTTTAACGGTGCAGTAACGGCTTTTCAAGAACCGACATTATTTTTAGAACACCGTATCGGCTATTGGGAAACTTACATCCGTACACAGAGAGAGTTTTCTCGTAAAATTTATTCTGAGAATCGTGGAGCAACATGGCATTTTGCAAGAATTTTACGAGAGTTTTTGGAAATTTTACTAGTAAAATGTATGGGGAAAATTTCAAAACACTCTTTCAAGAACCGACATCGACATCGTCAAATTGACGTCGAGTCGACATCGATCGACGAATCATTTCTCACTGAGCAACAAGAAGCAAGGATGGAGACCATCGTCGGCGTATCTGACGAAAAGATAAGCCCAAACACCTCTGGGACAGGTAAAAATTGTACGAAAGAGACAAAAAGACAGAGGAAGAGTGATTTTTATTTAAAAAAAGAACCTTTCCCCCTAATTTCACGCTCACTTTGATGTTGCACTTTGTTACCTGAATATTCTACATTATTAAAAATTCTTATACAGCGACGTGCTTTATGGACATTTTAATAATATATAAACTATATACGAACGCGTACAAATTGACGTCGATTCGATATCGATCGACGAATCATTTCTCACTGGGCAACAACGAGAAGCAAAGATGAAGACCATCGTCGGCGTGTCTGGCGAAAAGATGAGCCCAAAAACCTCTGGGACAGGTAAAAATTGTACCAAAGAGAGAAAAGACAGGGAGAGAGTGACTTTTATTTTAAAAAATAACCTTCCCCCCTAATTTCACGCTCACTTTGAGAGAGAGAGAGAGAGAAATGTTGCACTTTGTTTCCAAAATATTCTACATTATTAACGATCCTCATACAGAGACGCGCTTTACGGACATTTTAATAATATATAAAATATTTACGAACGCGAAAGTACGAAATAGCGCTCGTTAAAGTAATCTTTCGGAATAACGGTGAATATAAATTTGCGTAGCGCAAATGGAAAATTGCGCGTGGTAAATTACATGTACGCCTGGCGCGCATCAAAAACAGAAAGACACTAAACCGCGACTGTTTAATTATTTTATGCGGCAACATGGTGAAACTCGTTAAGTACGTACGCGGTCAAAATTTATGGAATATTTAACAAAACGAACGGGCGCGCGACGCGCGGAGAACGTCCGGTTTTCATAAACGGAACATTCCGAAATGCCCGACGGATTCGGAAGAGAGAAACGAGAGCCCCCGCCAAATGCGGCCGCTTACCTTTAACGGCGAGCACTGCCTCTGGTCGTGTGACAAGCACTTCAATCCGATTTCAATCGCCGGCAGAGAGCAATTCTCGATTTTCTCCGCCGTCGCGTCGAATTTCGCGTTTTACGCGCGTTCCCGCTATCTCTTCCTTTTCCCCTTCGTGTGCCCCTTCGAGTTTCCCGACGGAAGCAGCTCGCTCGTAGATTATTGCATTCCCCTCGTGAGAAGCCCGAGCGAACGCGCTCCCTGAGGAACACCGCCGCCCGTGTAACTCATTGAACCTCCACACGCCATTTCGCGCATTTCACCCCGTGGAGATCACTGACAAGACATTTTCATCGTCTCGTTTCTTTCCGCTTTTTCCCCGGTCACCATCTCCGTTCGTTTCTCGACGCGAAAAATTGCAACCCGCGCAAACGTTAGACATCGCTCTCCTCTCTTTGTCTAATAAGCGAATTTTAAAAATGAAAAATTTGTAAGAATCGAATTTTATCCGACTTCGCCTGATCGATCGATTCTAAACGCATTTTTATCTTTACGGTGGGTCAAGTGGAAAATTATTCCCAAGGAGAAATAAAAAGTCAAGATGACGTCAATTTGATGCCACATTGACGAAAATATGGCATAAATTTGGTCAATATGACGTCAAATTGACATCATCTTGTTTTTCATTTCTCCTTGGGTTATTGCATTTTTATTGAACCTTGAACCTTGTTCGAAACTAATGCGACCTAAACCGACGTGCGAAGCTCAAGCCTCAAGCCTGTTTGACGTAATTAACATGATAACAGAAATATGAGTGTCGATACAACCAGCGTATCCAGTTATTACTGTCCAATAGTAATCAAAGTTATCGTTATCGATTGTTCCTCTTTCGATAGAATAACGTCTCTAGCATTTTATGAAATCTCGATAAGGGTTTCGGAGAAATTTTCTCGTCAAACAAGGTCCTCGTTAGCGCTCGATTTATCGCACTCGGCAGAGTTTTGACGAAATTCTGAAATCTTGCAGTAAATTCAACGGCGCGATAATGAGGTCGATTTAACTAAATAAATTACACGACACGCGACACGATTATTATCCGTGCCAATAACTTCTGTCGAACGAACGCCGCTTGTCATTTAATAAATGTAAATTAAACCGGTCACAGAGCGCAACCTGCAGCCGCGCTGTCATTCGTTCGCAAGATTGAACGCGGCATCGTATCGCCGATAAATTTTCCGTGACATGCGTTCCTCTGATAAATCGCGCGCGTTATATGTAATTGTGGAAATACCTAACGAAGGAGACATAATTCATCAGTTTCATACTTGCCGCAAGTGACAATGTTTCGGGGCACAAATAACAACCACATTGTCGCGCTTCGACATCATTTACGGTACGTCCAAAACACAATGCAAGAAAGAAATCGATAGCTTCCGAGCTTAATACTACAAAGGTTTTCACCTAAGGTTGCAATAGACACATTATTTCCTTTCATGCGTACGTTCTCGAAAATAATAATCGTTAAGGATTTTCTATTATAAAGCGGAATGTCCGATAACACGTTACGTAAGACGTACTCACGAGAAATCCCAATAGAATCACGCCAACAAATCAGTTTCACGTTTAATCGGATCGTTATCAGAAAGCGATCGTGTTTTATCTTCTATCTTCGCGATGAAAATGGTGAAAAATCGATAGCCGAGCGTCATAATAGGTATGGAATAAGCTACGTTATCTCGACTTTGCGAGCGAAAAGTACACGTACTACGGATTTGTCTGGCGATTAAAGATCGATTCCGAGGGGTAAACCGCATTGTGGCGCACAGATTTGCGGCTTTACTGGGCATTTTGTTGGGCATTTCCTAGCAGCACGATATATTGACGCAATATTGGGAAATACTGTAAATCTAGTGTTCTCAATATTGTAAGATGGACGCCTTCTCTTATTCAGCCAATATGTCTATATTTAGCAATATTGCTTTAATATTGCTAAATTATTGCTATAGTATTAAGTGCAATAATTGCAACGCTTTCTACGTCGGGCAAACAAAACGTCATTTGCAGACTCGAATTAAAGAACACAAAAATGACATCAAAAAACACGTCAGTGGTCAATCGGTCGTTAGTGGGCATCGATCAGCTGATGAACATGAATTTAATTGGTCGACCCCAATTATTTTACACAGCGAACACAACTTTAGAAAACGTGAGATCGCGGAAATGTTTTTTATAAAAAAAACAAACAACACAATTAACTTACGAACTGACACAGAGAACTTAAGTGTCTTATACGACTGCGTGATCGAAGCACTGTAGGTCACGCTTGTCATTTGTTGTTTCCCAATTTTACCTATAACTCAGTTCAACTCGGAGCTTTATAACGCGCGAACGTGCGCACTTAAGATAAGATAATTTTCCTGACGATACCCTGCGTCGACAATGACCTGCGAGTCTGCTGCAATTTATGCTCTGCGAACATCTGTGCGCGAGGTAACTTTTACTTATGTACCTTCTTACTTTTTTTTTGTAATTTCTCATCAACTTCAAAAATTGACATGTTGGCTTGTAGTTCAGTTACTTGATAAAGACCTGATACTTGGGTCAAAACGTCGTACCAAATGTAACAATTTATTATATTGCCAGTTGAATCAACAAGATGTTTTATTTCAATTTTAATAAATTCTATTAAAGAGACGCACTGCGATATTGAGGAGTGCAATAAAGTACACTAAACAATAATAAGCGGAGAGATTATAAGGGAGGTTTACAGTAGGAAGGATCAATAAATAATCTCCCCCTTCAAAATATAATATCCAAATTTATTGCTCTTTCGAAAGGGAATTGGCTGCTCCTCGCAGGATAGAAATGCGAGCAGCTTAGGTCCTGAGCGGAATGGCTGTATTGTACTCTTAAGACGGTACTTTATGTCTAAAATCTTTGCCTCAGGGTAACGCACAACCGTTTTGCGCCTCAAGCGTACAAGGCAGCCATTTTGCTAAGAACCTCATTCGTCACGTGAAACCTGCGAATTACAATACGCTGTAAAAAAAATATATGTATATATAAACACAAACGTGAAAAAAAAATCTCTCGAAAAATGCATAGGTACTACGATGAAGTCGTTGCTGCGTACAGGCACTGGCGAGAGGAAGAGAGAAATACGCGAATTGCTAGTCATGGAATGGTTTCCGGTAAAGGAAAAGCGGATTATCCGTACGAGTAATGAAGGACTTACAAAATGAAATCGCGCAGCCGCGCGCAGCCGAATCTCACGTAAGTGCGCATCCGCGAGTGCGTAATAATTGAATAACAATTTTGCCGAGCCCAAAATTTACCCGCCAAGCACGGGTGATTTCCCTGCATATTTAGACTGCGGTCCCAAATAAATGCTCACGTTTGTTCAGGCGCGGTGAAATTTCCGCTCCCAGAATCACATTGTATCCCGAATCTCATTGCATTGTTATTTATTCATAGAAGAGTCGTCTATTATTTCAATACTTTGTTCAATTAACTAATCGTTATATTAAAACTTAAAGTTATTACGCTAATATGAAGACTTTCGTAAATAATAACGTTTCATCTGTACGGAAAAATAAATAGCGAGGCGAATGAGACTCTGAAACTGCAATTTTGATGCCAGGCGCAAAAACTTTCACCGTCCCTGAAAACAATTTGCGAATCTTGGATGGAAATCTTGGATTCTTGAGTGATCCTCGTAAAATTTCGAAATTCTGTCAATTCCAGAGATTCGATGACCGGAAGAAGATTCGACTGTTCGCTTCACGACTACTGCGCTTCGCGAAACACGCTGCGCGCTGACGCGATTAACAATGGGAATAATGTGATGACCGTCGCAACTATGATCGATGTAAAGGAAATCGCATTATTAAGTATCTGTCGTGCTGAACGTTCCTAATGAACCATATAATCGCAATAACGCGTCAACTTCAAGTCAGAGGCCCACTTTCGCGACGTGCGTTTAACGCTAAAGGCACCTTCATCTTCACTGTTGATTATCCAATGTGCAATTTAAATCCACTAGGAACGAAGAATTGTGGAGTATCGCTTAGATTATCATAATTACGGATTATCATATTTTAGCGTTAAACAGACGTCGCGAATGCAAGCGATCCTCGCGCTGGCTCGGAATTATCGCGTAACTGAAATAACACAAAGGCGATATCTCGGTGCACGTGGTCCTTATCCTTTTTTTTTACGTGCGCGCGCGTTTCGCACGATAATTCCTCGAGCTTCGCGTTATATCTTCGGGAATCTTCGGATTCGCGAATTACGCGGTTCTCTCGGCAAACGAAAACTTCTCGCGGGGCGACGTCGGACGAATTTCAGAAGGCAAAATAATCTTCCTTTCGAAGAACACTTTCGCGCAAAAGTTGGTGCGTTATCAATAAAAAAAAAAACATAATCTAGTTTCTCATCCCTAAGAATTTTAGAGACGGATCGTTTATAAGTTACGACTAACTTAAGACGGAAAGGAGAATCTAATTGTACAGAACACAACGCGAGCGAAGATATAATTTAACACGCGAGGATCACTCGCGCGGCTCGGTGTTGCTTATCACTACCTTATGCTTTAAAGTATCACCTTACGCGCTAATAAGGCCTGTGCTTTAGGTATTTACGTTCCCAATTCTACGTCGCACGTGTGTAGCACTAAGCAGCGGGCGTGCCGTTTTCGAATTCCGATCGATCGCGTGGACCAAACTGATCGCGGATCCATCGCTCCCCGTCCGTCGCAATTTGATTCGCCCGATCGACGTGGACGCGACACGCGAGGAGAAGAGTGAGTTGTGCTCGGTGCAAATGTACATGAGATTCGGACGGTCGCTCCTTCTAGTTGTGAACGCGCGGCGTGAATGCGGGAGAATACCTCGGTTCGGCTCGCTCGCTTATCACACGCGATAGCGCGCGTCGACGCGCGCGCGGCCGGCGACGTCCGGACGCGCGTTCACTTTACCTTAAATAATAAAATCGGCGCGTCCTGCGTAAAACGCTCGGTCAGTAGCTTGTGCCCTAAGTTATTAACAAAAAAAAACAAAAAAAAACGGTGCTACTGTAAAATCGTACGAGAGACGGGGGTCTCGTCTCGCCTTTTCTTTTTTGGTGTCGGCTCTCGGAAGGAGTTCGGACGACGCGCGGACACTTGGAAATCCTCTCGGTTCGCTCTCCGGGCGGGGATTTATCGCGACCGGACTTTCGAGTGGGTTTTCTCGGACCATTAAGCGACCGGTCCTTCGAATCACACGAATTATCGGATCCTCGTGTCAATCCTGAGAGTCTCGGAGTCCACGTTCGGCGAAAATCCGCTCCTCCATAATCTCCGGATCCGCGAAACTTCGGGAGCTTTAAATATATCCGACGCGATTCCCGCGCCGTGTCTCGCATATCCTCGCGAGGGGGAGGGGAAGTCATTGCGGAGACAGGATTAAACGAGGCGTTATTTAGCTCAGGTACGGGAGAAATTAATTTCTCGCTTTCCGCTACACGAGCCCGCGGCCCTGATTTTTTCCTCTTCTTCCAACGTAAAGCTTAAGTTTCACCTGAGCAAACTGCGACGTGCGCGGGCGGGCGGGCAGAAATGAACTTTAAATGTTCGCACGAAAGCGTCGGTTATTTCGCTTGTTCGGCTCGACGTTTGCTAAATTAAATTTGACATTGCGTCCTTTCCCTATGCAGCACAGTGCGTGGACCAAGCGTTGGTTAAATATTTGGTTGTGTTGGGCCAATGTTTAGCGAACGTTTGGTCCCCGCACTGTGCTACTAGGGTTCCCATTGGTATGGAAACGGAGAAATGATAAGGGCGCAGAACTGAAGACCGACGATCAGTAGTCTTGAACCAGTCTCGCCGTGCGAACGGATGGGTTTCGGTGCGAAATCAAACGGGAATTGACATAAACTGTCGTGCGTGTGTCTTGAATCTCGACTACTTTCCAAGCTGAACATTCCTCTTGCTTTTTTTTTATTGTGTAAATACTTAAACAACTATATCTGTAATAATCACCGGCGTGAATCATTCGTTAATCCTTCGCGAAATAAGTGGAGTATTACGTGTCGCATCTTCGAGTCGAAGTCGTTGACGGAAAAAAACGAGACGTCGCAGGAGGGCCGACGGGTGAGGTCTTGGTGCAGCGTCGTTCGCGCGAGCGGAAAAAATTTTAAGAGAACGCTCCGTCTGGCTCGTCGGCAGTCGTCGATGCGCGAAAGATCGCGGCTGAAAACGAGAAAGCGAGAGAAATCGCGGCACGTCTCGCGACAAGACGCAGATACGAAAGTCACGTATACCCGAGACGGATTTTAAGGACTCGCGCGTGTTTCCGCCATATACGACGCGCAAAATGTACGTGCGTTCAGAACGTCACTATATTTTGCCCGCGTGGATGAAGAAAATCGTTGCACCCCGTATTAATTAGCGACAGCGAGAATGCGCGGGGGAGGGTAATCTTTCTCAATTTCTCGAGTTCGGCGGAATTCAAGTCCGCGGATTCGTAATTGCAATCCGGTCCTCCAGAGGCAGAGGATGTCTCACGAGGAAAACCGCACACGTAGGAACTTGGAAGTGTTTTCGGCTCTTGTGCGATTTTAAGTCGCGCGAGAGGGCGGGACACTTGAAAGCCTCAAATCTCAAGTTGGAAATCGCGACTTGAAGCTGCGGACTCTTCGAAATTTGACCCCAACGTTCCCAACTTTGAGTCGAAACTTGGGGCTCCTCGAGCATTCCGAGAAGCGAAAGCCTTAAGTCCATGGCGACTAACGGCTTCGACTCTCAGCTTAAAAACGGCCAAAGTACAATCGTTGGCGCTCTCGACAAATTCTCGAATTCGTCAGACCCTCCGAGATTCGTCCGACAATTGTTATCGATGGACTCGTTATCGCGGGTAAACATCGTTCTGTAAATCGCGGGAGCAACGAGCTTCACACGCCTGAGGACGTCGGGCGTGCCCAGCGGCAAGGACACTAATAACAAACTCGTGAATTCGGCGGAGAACGAGTTTCGCGATCGATTACTTCCGGCGGCCCGGACTGCGGCGACGAAGTCGTCCCTTGCGCGTAGCCGAACGGAAGGTCGCGCTTCCGGCCGGGAGAAATATCTCTAGGCGGCGAAATAAAATATGAAGAACGGATCGAAGGTGCGGTGGGGTGGGTTTACTCGAGTCGCTTAAATTACTTTACATATATCCTGCGTGCGGGCGCAGACCAGTCTGTAACCTGAGTCAATGGTCAAATCTTATGGAGAGTATCGTACAGGAAAATCGACTTTCCGGTGTCCGTCGTGTGCACAAGCTTGTAACTTCGGCTGGTCATCTTGTCGATGAAGCTCTTTGTTTCCGCCTCGCTGTGATGGGGACTCCACCGTATCGAGAGTATCGATATTCTTACGATGTCCCATGGGATGGTGTCGAGTACCTGCGATCATTGTCAGTCGCCCTTACGACAAGCCCTTGCAACGCTCGTTACCGACTTAATATTTTTACAACGCTCCGCTCTACCGCGTGCCGAAGCTTAAACGCGCTGCTCGAGCGAGTTTAAATCTCGAGATGATCGTCAAATTAACTATATTTGTTCTTTTTCAACGAGAGAAATGTAACAACGATATGCGCGATGGAATTGTGACACGCATAATTTTACGTGCTTTTTTTAAGCAGGCAGACAAGTGTAAGAATTTTGAATTAAAAAGAGCACTGTGTGTGAACATGAAAATTATGTATTTCGAGGATCGCTAAATTATTAAATTTATATATCCATTTACCTGGCCGTCGGGAGCGTCGGGACTGTCCAGACTCAGGTAATCCAAGGTCGTGGCGTTGTACGCCAACAGTACGCTGTAGAGAGGAAAGCACTTGAGTCTAGTGGTAGGAAAACCGTCGTCCGACGACACGAGGCTGTTGGGACCGTCGCCCAGCTTTGTGACCTGGACCTCCGATTCCTGGTGGTACTTTATCTGCAATATCGTTTGCGCGCGTGAAACGCGTACTCTCTCTCTCTCTCGTCGCGTTCGGAACCGTCATTACCCTCTCATCCCCATCTCACCTCTTTGGTATCCGTGTCTGTACTGAGACAAGCGTGAAGAACCCTTGACCGCGGGTTTCTGGTGCTACGCTGCGCCTCGAAGAAGCTCTTGGGCTCGGTGAGTATCAGGACACCTCGCCACCCTAGATTGAACTCCAGCCAGGCGGTGCTGGAAACCGCGCCTATCTGAAAGAACGACACCCGGCGGTGATGGGCGACGGATCTACGGACCCGAGTCGCGATACGAGGGTAAATTGGGGTCGGCCTGATTATCGCTCCTAATTAACAAGATGAATTGAAAGGAGCCCCGGGGAGATTACCGAGGCTCATCTATCTCGTTCGCCTATTTTTAACCTGGTTGCGTGCCGACAGCGATCCACTCCCGCTATCGCGTGTTTCGCTAATGTTACGTAGTGCACTATCGCGGGCGATAAAGAATTGTTAGCGCGGCCGTGCAATATCTAAAATAGACTTTCAAGACTGCGAGGCGCTGGTACACTTGGCGCTAATTTTAATTCCGAAGCTTGATAAGGCGCAAGAAGGAGTCGACGTATGCAGGAAGAAACTCCGAGCCCTTTTGAGAAAGATATCGCTCGTGAATGTTCATACCGTCGCATCCGCAGAAGCTCATGAAAACGTGGCATTAATATATCGAGAAAATTATTATCTTTCACGATCTTCCGCAATGTCTCTACAGAATATTTCAAAATCGCCAACTTTTATTTTAATTTAAACGCTAAGAGGGTTGTTATATTTTTTCTAAAGAGGATTTCATCAAGGGCCGTCGTTCACCGTTTCAATAATTAAAGAGAAAAACTGATATCCGAAAAAGTCGAATTGTAAGTGAACTGCGAAGCGCGGTTGTTTAATTGCGGGAGCCTCATCGTCCTCGGCCGCTTGCGCTTCGAAAATTGTCGATGCTCCTCCCGGACTTTTTTAATTGACGAAAGATCATCCGATAATTGATCGAGGATTCTGTCGGTAATTAAGGATTTTAGAGCGTGCCGCGCGATGCCATTTTTCACCGCTCTGTAAACCGCGAGTTTCGCGAACAAGGAGATATCACGTCGTCACGTTGGAAGGATGAGGCTCTCGGTGTGCGCGACGGTGACTCGTGGGACATTAATCACGCTCTCGGGGATTAAAACGAAGGATCTCCCACCCTGCTGATGTACTCCGCGTAGATGCCCTCGCGCTTGCCCTGCGACAGCGTGGCCACGTACTTCTCCTCCGACTTCTGGTTGGCGTTCAACGGGTCCTGGTGGGTCGTCGGCTTCAGGTGCACCTGCCGTATGTACGCGACCAGTTGCGGATTGTCCATCGAGACGCTGTCGAGCACGTAGTCCCTGGTCATGTTCGCGTCGAACGCCTGTCTCCTGTAACGGAATGTCCGCTTTAAGCTGCCCCACCAGTGGTGTTCAATCTTGCATGATCTGGGGCTCGATCGTGTAATCCTCTCTCCAGGGAAGTAAAAAAAAAGAAGCGAAAGGTATAAATTTCCACACACGAGCTCGCCGAAATCCGATCTCTTCCACAGTGTATCACGAGTCGCCTGCCTGGCTCTCTTTCTCTCTCTCTCTCTCTCGCTGCACCGCAGAGAACAGATTTTACGACGTGCGAGACACACGTGGGATTTGGAATAATGAAAAACGAAAAACCTCGGTCTAATGAGACTGCACGGGGTGTCAAATATTTCACAGAAGTTTGCAATATTATAGATTTCTCTCGTCGTCTAATTGTCACAAGAATCGCCACTTTGTCGTGACATTAGGAATGAGAACGGAAATTAAGTAAAAAAACATATTTTTTTTAAGTACAACTAAAAATGTCCTCTGAGAATACAGCGCGGTTGTTGGCGCGTGAGCTCGACCAATTTATTATTAAAATGTACTTAACAGTACACGATGTGATAGGTGTGTGATAACTCACGCAGCGACGATCACGTTTCACCCTCAATACCCATTTTCTAACTCCACCCGATTATCGAGAGTCCTCTGACCATTTGTTCCTTTCTATTTTCTTCCTCTCCTTATCTAAAAGGGTCAATGAATTACACGAAAATTCGTCGGCACTTTACCTCAAAGCCGCGGCCTCGCTCCAAACGAGGAGCAGAACCATGGCGGTGGTAAAGGCGGCAAGAAAGGCCAAGCAGGGGGCCACTCTCCTGCACCAGGTCCTTTTGGAATTGGTAAACGACGTGCCGGTCAAGGTGGGCCCTGCAGACGGTGGCAGACCTCCGTTTGACGAGGGTGTCCCTGCGGGTGCCATTCTGCGGAAACACAACGAATGTGTAAACACGCGCTGCATGCTTATCACGGGAGAGAAAGGACTCGTGTCGAGACGCAGCCTCGATGCTTTCTTGACACAACATACGAAATCTCTATCCCCTTCGCCGGGTATTAATACCGGAGTTCCGGCAACGACGGGCAAACACGGGGACTTTTGCCTACCGTTACCTTTCCGCATTGGAATTTTCTTCACAATGGATGAGCTGTGAAATTTTTCCGTCTTCCAATTTGTCAGTTATTTCAAAGCTATTGCCTAAAGAAGGGTGAGGGAGGATTAAGAAGGCACCAGCGAGGAAAGTTGGAACGTTCTGCGGTCCTGACGGATATTATTGAAGGGCAATTGATCGATAAGCTACTCGATAGCCAATAGCAATTTTATTTTGCACGGGGGGTTTGATAAAAATTCGATGAGAGAGGGATTCGCATACATATAGCTCGAGATTTATTATACATTATTTTAGTGAATGCTATAAAATATTTCAGCAACTGCAAAGGATAATTTCGAACCCCGGTTTTCACCAACGTTTACTTTGATCGTTTACTTTGATCTTGAGTTTAATTCATCCTTTGTTGTCTCTTTCTAAGGGGACGGTTAGAAAGAGACGGAGGATGAATTGAATTAAATGTAAGAGCAAAGTTAGACGACGTGGGTGAAAACCGGGGTCAATATCCTTCGGAACAGGCTCGAAAACCATTAGGTAAACTGCGAGCGAGCAGATGGGCAAAAGGGTAACCCTTTAATGTCGACATCATTATGAAATCTTTACGAGATCCCCGTGTAATCGTTTTGTCTTAATTTTCAAGTTTCTTCACTTGTTAGACAAGAAACATCAAATTTCACCATTTTCTCAACTTGTTTTCATTTTCCCCAAAAATTTACTTCTTTTAGTGAATAGGTATCCAAATATACATCATAGTTCGTACCTAAAAGCGCGTATTATTCTTTTCATAACGAGAGTGAAGTAGTTGCTGTTAGAACAACGGTGAGTTGAAACGTTGATGCACCTGTGAAAATTTCGAACAATAAACAGTAGATGCAAATACAAAATTACTTCTCGTCAAGACCACGGTTAGACTGGTGGGAACAGTGGGAGGCAAGGGAACACGTTTCCTACCTAACCGAATACTGCAATCTTAACTGAAATTACTTCTACAAACAAACACTTATTAATAAAATATTTAAAAAAAACTGTTTTGAGGAGATCTAATAGCTCTTTGAGATTTAACAAAGTCACATATTTTTACGCGCGCGTCTAAGAAAATTATTTGCAACTAGATAAAATTATTTGTAATCAGATGGAATCGTATAAAATCTAATGAAATCGTGTAATCGGTGGGACATTTTAGCTAGTGGTTATCCCGAGGGGTGAACCGCCGAGGGCATTGTCGTGTACAGATTTACGGCATACCTGGGCATTACTAAGCATTTTTGGGGCATTAGGCCTTGCTGGAGCATTATAAAGATCAAATAAGATCAAATAAGATCAAATAAAACAAAATAAACAAGATAATAAGATAAACTAATGCCCACTGGGTATTAGTGGGCATTGGTATACAAGATTTTGGTCAGTGGTTTTCGGATTATCCCGAGGGATAAACCGCCGAGGACATTGTAGTGCACAGATTTGCGGCATTACTGGGCATTACTATAGGCATTTTTGGGCATTTCCTACTCTGGGAAAAAAAGACAGTTAGCAACCCATTTTAGGGCCCACAATTAGTAATCGAATTGTTTAGATTGTTCGTAACTCTATTCTGGGAAAAATTTTGACCGGTTTTTTTTTTAGTTAAGCAACTTAACACTTCGGTTAGTGCCTCTTAAGTAAAAATTATGTTTGCGTTACTGAACGTCGACAGAACTAAGAGAGAACTGAGAGAATTGATTAGTATTACTTAAAAATCTTCGATATCGATAGAATAACTAATTGCGATTTTTAGTTACGCGGGGTAACATTCGTAAAAGATTAGAGTTGCGGACAATACAAATAATTCGATTACTAATTGCGGGCCCCGAAATGGGTTGCTGTCTTTTTTTCCTCCCCAGAGCAGTAGCACAATATATTGACGCAGTATTGGGAATTAATGTAAATCTATAATAGTATTCTCGATATTGCAAGACGCCTTCTCTTATTTCGCCAATACGTCTATTTAGCAATATTGGTTTAATATTGTATCAATGTTACACCAATATTCTTGTTACATTGTTTAATATTGGCCAATGCATTTCCAACATAAATTTATTATTATATAATTATTATCGTACAATATTTACATTTATTTCACGGCCAACAATGGCTTTACGTTGGACAATACCGACCAATGAATTTCTAATATTATAACCAGCATTGGGCCGATGTTTAGCCAATGCACAGTGCTATTAGGAGGATTGGGACTCGTTACTTGTAACGAAATTACAGTTACTTTTTTGGGGCATTAGGCCTTGCTGGAGCATTAGAAACATAAAATAATATAAAACAAGATAACAAGATAAAGTAATGCCCACTGGGCACTAGTTGTTGGTGTATGTACATGATTTTGATCAGCGGTTTACCCCCCTGGGGTTATCCCCTTGCAGTTGTTGTTTGTGGTCTTCTCGGACACCCTGTAAACACGCGTGCACCAACATATGCAGGTACATACATACACGCATGAGTCACCCTGCACTTTCTAACCGGCATTTTTTCAGTCACGTTCAAGTGAGCGCACGCCTAAGGATTCGAGACAAAGGAAGACCCTCGGTGGCTCGGATTAATAATTCGTTTGTCATCTACCACGCACGTTCGCAGCGGAAGCTATTACCCCGCCGGACGGAAAATCACCTCTCATTTCCGACAATTTCTCTTTATTCCACATATTTTTTTATTACAGATTAAATGTATACCGCCTCTTTCGTTTGTTTTTGTCATATTCAAGTTTAATAAAAAAAATATATATATGGAGAGTCAAGCGCGCAACGATATTTCTATATTTGTTACTCTCTATTGAATAAATAATCGATTATTATTTGTTTTGCAAAATTGAAGCGCTCCGGCTAAATGAAATAAATATTATATATCGCGCGGATTAATCTCCCGTGAGAGGGAAAAACATTCTGATTCGAAACAATGAAAATAGGATCGGCCGTCACGAGAATCTGCGGTGGAGCCTCCTCTTATCAGAATTTGCAGAAAAAGTATCTTCAGTGTAAAGTCTCGCGTGTGTTGCGCCAGGCGGAACAAAGTCCGCTCCCGTTATTTGTCTCACGCTGCGTTAAAGCGAGGTTCGCCGGCGACCAAGTTCGCGTCACTTGGTGCATCGCGAGGTTCTCCACTAATTCGCTGCAAAACTTTCAGCGAAGACAAAGTGAGACAACGCGGCGCGCTCGCTTCGTCAAATTTGCTTATCCAAATTGGGACGGAATTCGCGATCGATGTCCCGCGTGGCGCACTTGGCGAGACTTGCAGCGGATTTCGGTTGCTTGCGCTGGCGCGCACCAACGCGCAGGGGTCGTTTTGAGTATCTCTTTCTACCAATACGAATTCATTTTAATCCCTATTTAACTAAATTTTAATTTTTCTCCAAAGTCCTGAGACTAGGAAAAGGAAAGAAGCAAGTTACACCGAGATCAAACTCATAGCGAATTCGGTTGCTTGCACTAATGCACACTGAGTGCACACTAAGGCTCGTTTACATGCAATTCTTATATTTAGGGATCGTCTGAAATATCTTTTGGAATATTTCGTAGCCAGTAAAATGATCTGTACAGTATTCATGCGGATCATTTTTTGGCTAAATACTCTCTGAACGTGTATTTAAGACAAAGTTAAATATAAAAATTGACTATAAACAGGCCATAGTGTGCGCACTAGTGCAGGTAATCGAATTCGCTATAAGCCTTGTTTCCAGTCAATTCTTATATTTAAAGACCATCTTAGATACCTCTTGCAATTTTTCTTATCCAGAAAAATGGTCTGTACAACGTTTACACGAATCATTTTTTGACTAAATACTCTTTGAACACGTATTTTAAAACAAAGTTAAGTATAGGAACTGAACGTGTAAACAAGCCTTAGTGTGCACTCGGTGCAAGCAACCGCGCAAATAGCACCGTACATCTTATGGACGTCCGTTTTACGTTCATTTTACTACCATACGTCCATGGACATAATAAGATCGTCCATTGTACGTCCATACAAAGATATACATTGGATGTGCATAAACGGACGTCCAGTGGACATCCATTTAAGATTCCCTTTATATAACTAATTTATGGATATATACTCCCGAGTAGAAATGAAATCATGCATGCCTTGTGTATGATGTCAGGGTCCGATAGGGAGGAAGTAAGGAATGCCCTAATAAGGAATCCCTGAAATGTGCCTGATCCGGTACGCCTGATTCCCTCATAGAATGTGATAAACGTTAACCTGAATATATAGCACTAGTACCACTCACTGCCGCGGCGTGGCGACCGCGCGTTAGTCTTTCTCGTAAGTAAAAATCATCCCGTATTAGTATAAGAGGCGAGCCGATATGATGCGACAGCGAATTGTTGGATCATGGATAAACTTCAATAACCTGAATATACTTTTGATGACTATGTAATTTAACACAATTTAAAAATTAGTTTAAAAAATTGAATTTTCACCCTACTAAAATTTCTGCCCGGGAATGTATCCAGTAGAGATTTCAATTTGTCCCTAAAAAGTCCAAAGTTCATCCATTAGATTCATAGTTTATTCATTTACGATCCATAATTCATCCATAATTCATCCATAAATGTTCATTAATGGACAACTTATGGATGTCTATTGGAGTTGCAAATGGATGTACAATGGACGTTCTTTGTACGTCAGCTGCAACTGATACGGACGTTCGATGTATGTACACAATATCCGGCATGGATGTTCATTGTACGTACATAGGACGTACTTGTGTTCATTGGGCGAATTCGCTATCAGATAACATGCATGTCTAGCCATTAAAGGAGAAGAAGAAGAAGAAGAACATGCATGTCTAACAGCGAATTCGGTTGCTTGCACTAGTGCGCACTGAGTGCACCCAAGGCTTCGATCGTCAATTTAGCGAGTTCCCGCTCGTAAAGATCATCGTAATATCAAACAGTTTTCGATCCGACGTAAACAGGTCGCTCGGAGATTGCGTTTCGGCAGCGATTACTGCAGCCTCCTCCGCGTTTTCGCGATCTCGAGCGAACGGGGCTCGCTTTGACGAAACTTCCGTTATATTTCCAGGCTGACGTTATTTCTCGTCACGTTGAAGTTAAGATGACGTTCTCGATGACATTTCCCAGGTTCCAGATTTCTCGCACGCGAGCTCGAGAGTCTACCCGAAGAGCGTGCGGCACTCGATCGAACAACCGGCGAGATAAGCTCGCGCTCGTTTAAACGATCCGCAAACGAGGTCCATCGCGGACCTTTGATAATGTAATTCGCCCCTACTCACTTCATCTTCGTCGGCTTCAGCTCGTCCGCGTCCCCGTGTCCTTTCTTACTTCGCAAGCTCGAAATTCGTGGACCATTTAGATGTCACCCAACCGCGTCGACGCTATCACTTCTTCGCTTCACGCGCGAACGGCACTTCTCTTCCTTTGAGCCCCTGCTGTGTCAAGACTGCCAACAAATTAGCCATAGAGCGACCACTCGTCTCCCGTGCGTGCGCGCGCGCGCGCGCGCGAGTTCGATTGGGAGAACCAAAGGATCGCCGACAACTCGATAACGTCGCCGCGATGCGTTGTCTTCGACACGCGTCTCACGTCTAGCGTCTCGCGTCTAGCGTCTCGCGAACGAATCGCGCGGTCACAATATTTGGTAGCCGCCGGGCAGCCGGCTAAGCGTCGCGTCACGTGGGCTCGACCTTCACGACGCGTTGTTGTCGTCGCGTCGTTGTATTGTGGTCCTGTTAGCGTCAGATCGTTTCCCTCTTTCGGTTTCCCTCCCCTTGCCCCGAGAGACGCTTCGGCGGGAAGATCTCTCTCTCTCTCTCTCTCTCCCCCTCCTCTCTCTCTCTCTCTCTCCCCTCTCTTCTCTCTTCACTCTCTGTCTCTTTCACCCCCGACGAGCGTCGGCGGGAGAGAGTGATCAATCGAAGCCGCGGTCGCTTCCCCGCGCGTCTTTTGTTTCCGCGGCTCCGTTTGTTATGTAACAAATGGGATATCCGATGCAGTCTCTCCTCCCCCTCCCTCTCCCCTCCTCCTCGATCAAGTCTCGAGATGTGGTCTCTCGGTACACAGCTGCGTCTGCAGAATTTCTGAGACGGCGCTTCCCCGAGTCCGGGGCGACTTTGCGAATCTTCGAAGCGCAGGCACCGATATCTAGGGATCTCGCGGTTGCTCGATGCGATGCAAATGATGCGATGATTTGTAGTCAATGTTTCGAGCAAACTCGATTAATCGTCGGATCGTCGTACAGCGAAGTGTCCCGTAACTTCTCCACTCGCGCTTCTTCAGGAAGAAAACAAAATGAAGTCTTGGCGAATCTCACAATATCTCGGGCCGATTTTCACGGGTCTCGTAGTTGCTCGGTGCAGCAACGATTCGCGGCAATATTTCGGGCAAAATTCAATCAAGACGAGATACAATAGAGTGTCCCTTAATTTCTCCACTCGTGCTTCTTGAGAAAGAAAACAAAATGAAGTCTTGACGAATCTCACAATATCTCGGGCCGATTTTCACGGGTCTCGCATAGTCTCGCAAATCCAATCAAGGTACAATGAAGTGTCCCTTAATTGCTCCACTCGTGCTTCTTGGGGAAGAAAAAAGAAGAATTGACGTCTCGAAGAATCTTGAAAATAATTTAGCCCGGCCGGCCCTCGAGTCCCCTCAAATGCCGGATCGAAACGCCTCAAGGAACGTTTGCCGCAAAATCCCTTCTTCCGCTCCCTCGCTCTTCTCCCCAGAGTACTGCTTTTTATTTTCTTCTCTTTATTGCACGGCTGTCCCCCCTCGATGGATTCTCCTCGTGCTTCTCGACGACAGCCGGATTTTTATAGAACCGAGCCCTCGAAGTAGTTATTCACCGCAGTCCCTTCCCCGAATTTCTCTCCTTCGCTCTCGCCCGCAGGTTTGTCGCGGCGACGCCGCGTCGAAGATCCCCCACGTGTTCCTCGGCACGAGCGGGATTCCCCGCGTGATCGGCATTCCTCGAGGTATCCGGGCCTCTCTTTTTCCGGGGCGAACGGAGGTCGCCGAGAGGACCGATCGCCCGGAGGCGCTCGCGTCGGGAATTGATCGCGATTCGATCCGAACGCGGTCCCGTCCCGCGACTTGTTCGCCGAAACACTTGTTTTCTTCAACGAACGAACAAAATCCTCGTCGACGTAGCGTCGAACAGCCCGATATCACGGTCCGAGCGATCGCCGGTCTCCCACGAGGAAATTGCCACGACGAAAAGTTCCTCTCGCCTCCCGGAGGCTGCCCCCTGCCGGAGTGCACTCGGGACCACTGCCGCGGGGACTCCCCGGCGAATTCCCGACGGACAGAGCGGAGAGCCGACGGCGAAGACCGCGGCGGGATCGTGTCGGCTCGCTCACTGGCGGCGCGGCTCGCTCCGTCCGTCTCCCCGGTCGCCGGCTTGTTCGCCGACCGACATCGAATTACGTGTATACATGCACATACGTATGGGCCGTGCGTATGTATCGATTCGAGCGAGAGACGACGACAACGACCGTACGCGCGAGAGACGGTCGGGAACAAAGAGACAGACGGGAGACGCCGGGGCCGCGACGCGGCGCGGCGCGACGCGACGCGACGCGACGAGACGACGAGCGTTCTGGACGGGCCGAGAAAGCGCGTGTCGTGTATTATGGTCGAATGTCGCATTGCAGCGGCGACGTCGGCGACGAAGCCCCGGCAGCCGCCACCACCGTCGCCGCCACCGCCGCCGCATCTGTCGTCGCCCGTCCTCGTCGCACTCGCGGCCCGACTCCGCTCCTCGCGCTTCCTCGCCCGGGACCTCTGTTCCCGACGCCGACGGGCCCTGCTGCGTGACAGACGGCGAGCGTGGCGCGCGCCGAAAGGGCCGATCGCGGTGGAGAGGCCGAGGGACTTTCGTGATACCCGGCGGCGAAGTTGAGGAAAGTTCGCCGATTAAAGTTTCCTCAACTTCGCCGGGCGAGCATCGCGAGAAACGGAGGTCTTTTCTGTAGAGGCTCGCGAATCGGGACTTCGGGCGTCGAATCGTTGAAATGTAACTTTTAATTAAAGCAATTAATATTATTAGAAATTGAATGTTAACGTGTAACAACAGAATGTTTTCACGCGGGAAAGTAATGCCGATTGTGTAATGTGAATTCAGTTTAGGATTAAAATATATTTTAATATTTAATAGAAGACTAATGAAAGATATTTTATTTAATGTCGCAGAAGTTGAAACGATTAGGCGAACAGTCATGGGTAAATTATTAAAACACTCTGATGTAATATCCAACAACGTTGTCCAATTACGTGCAGAGTAATTGAAATAAGATGACGTGGTTTATTTTATTATTAATATTCTTCGATTTGGATCCAGAGATGTAGCATATTAGCTAAACATTGGCTAAATATTGGTCCATTGTTGGCTACACTAGAAATGCATTGGCCACACAATACAGGGTGTTAAAAGAAAATGCTCAGGACTTGAAGGGCAGGTAGTACTCGTGAAATGGAGGAAAACGTAGATTGAAAAACTAATATTTCCGGAGTTATAAACAGCAGTGTATTTTTAAACAGTCTGCAACTCTGTGGCGCGAGGCGGGTGTGCGGAAGTGGAAGAAGAATACGTAGAGAACTTTCTGTAAACTTTGGAGTTTAAAGAACTCTTATTTTTTCTTCCTTTGAATAAATGGAATGTACTCTAATCGAAATAAAGAATTGTTTACAACTCGGAAAATATTAACGTTTCGAAACTTACGTTGTGAAAGTTTTTGCTTCATTTCACGAGTGTCTACTCTTGTCTACTAAAGTCTCAAACCCCTTTTTTAACAGCTTGTTTATTCGTACTCAAATTATAGTATCGAAAATTTTTTAATAGTTTAGAATTGAATCATATAAATACAAATGAGAAAAAGAGAAAGAGAGAGAGAGAGAGGGACTATGTATTCGAATAGTTTTGTACATCGCTAATTTTTTCTTTATCACGCTGATACACAGCTACATATATGGCAGTGGAATTTTCCCGAGTCCGGTTTCCATTACACCCAACTCTCTATTTACGTGATAGATACGTTCCGCGTTACATGGAAAAACCGTAAAAAAAATATCGCGTTACATATTTCGAAAAACCGCGTAAAAGAGTGTGCTACTTTGAAAGTTTTTTTTCTTACACAGCTCTCTCCCTCCCCCTCTCTCTCTCTCTCTCTTTTTCTCCCCCCTGTCTGCCTGTCTCTCCCTGTCTCTCTTTCTCTCTTGGTATGCATCATTAAAGATTTTTTAAATTTAATGTAGAGGCACACATGCTCAATTAAAAAATTTTCATGATTAAGAATTAAGAGCTGCACGTTACACGGTGATTGCAAAAAAAAAAAAAACTGTCGAAAAAGCATGTAAAAGGGGAGCTGAGTGTACTTCGGAATCGCGATATTCGGGAATGATGACTATTGGTCTCGCGTCGTTAACTCAAAAAAAAGTTTGGCGAACGCCAGTCCGTACACCTCTCCCATGACGGATCCGACCGGAGGCAATAGCGCGCACTGGTGCGCGAAAATTGACTAAAATCGCAACGCGTGGTGGAGCACGAGTGATCCCGACCGATGCCAACGGTGGTTGTACAACGACCAGCGTAAGTCATTGTCGTTTGGCGGAATTTCCGCTGGACCGATCCGGCGATCGAAACGCTCGTAGGCCGGCGTTTAACTAAATACTTGAGTACTCGAATCAATTTGTGCGCGACGGCCTGTAGAGTTTGCCGACGTGTGCGTACCCGGTGCATTCGACCGAATTCGCTACAGGCATAGCCGACAGATTTGCCGGTAGATAAAATATCATGTGAAGCTAACGAACTGATAGGTTTATTTAGCCTCCGGCACGCTATCTTCATTACTCTCATTTAATACAGTCGCTCTCGGTGTGGCTGTACTCGAAACGTGGCGAAGATAATTTCGCAGAGTTCACCGAAGAAGAGCGGAGATTCGTAGATGAGCAGAAATAAGAGAGAATAATCATCGTTGTCGCTTATTGTATACATTGTAAATTTCATGTGTTACAATACACAAAAATTTTCAATAATTGGAGCACTATTGCAACAGCATATTCCTGAGACCAAATCAAGTAAAAGAGTCCTGTACTGCTTTTCCCTCCGACAAACAGTTATCGAGATATCATAAGCTAAACATTGAAAAAGTTAGTTATAAATTTTCTCTTGAATATGTGAAAAAGTATTAGTCAAATAAAAAAATGTTTCAGACAAAAGTTGTTCATATTAATTAGTAGAATAAGATAGTATAATAAACAATAGGGGGTTCCGTTTAAAAAATTGAAGGTGACCTTCACGTGACCTTTAAATGACTATCCAAGGTCAAGTCAATGGCACCACCTTATATCCCCCTTCGAACCAAACAACTTTTGCTTAAAACGTTTTTCCGTATCTTTCATATTTTTTGAGATATTTGCGTGGATCATTTAAAATGAGACACCCTGTATAGTAGAATCTAAGACAGTAAAAGAGGTCGAACTGCAAGTACAAAATTTACTCCTACTTTAAAACTGATAGTGTCGGAAGTTTCTACTTTTGCCAATTTAGCATTAAAGTAGATCCATTTCAGTAGAAGCTAAAGTAAATTTTTATAATTAAAGATTGAAGGGAGGAGTAAAAAAGTATGTCATCAAAGTAGGTTATTGCTGGTCTGTGTAGATATATAGATCAGCTAAGTAGGTGTAAATTATCCTTAAAAGTGTCAAAATAGTATCAAAATT